GAGGGATTTCCTGGATAGAATATAAGATTCTTTCCAAGTGGTTTTTCTAGACAAAATATAAGATAAATTATCAAAATTAGCAACCACGCTTTAGTTCAAGGATCAGAACATATAGTTAATCATCCGGTTTATTATACTTGTGTTTTATAACTCAATTAACTCTTGTGTCAACAGCAAGTTAGTTGGAAGATAAAGATGGATGCTGTGAATTAAGCATATTGTTTCGATGCCTTTCTAGAAGTTTTCAAGAATTGTTTGTACCGAGACTCAACCCGTCTACAAACAAGCAAGTGTTTCTACAATGCATCCAACCATGGTATTAATGTTTCATTCTTTAATAAAGCACAATAATGGTGAAGATTAAAAGGTTGTCATGAAGATCTAGCTGGGGTACTTGCCTTGAACTAAGGGGTATTTCTATGTAAGAGTCATCCGTGGCATAAAAAGAACTCATGGTTATACAAAATACCTTAGTTTTACTAGATGCATCCAATCATTCAATAAACAAGTAGATAAAGCATTAAAGCATAAAGAAAATGCACAAGTATAACTTCTGGATAATCAATACATATTCATCACCTTTTACTAAAGAGTGAATAAGGAACTACTCACTCTTCATCTCTTTGGTAAAGCTAAAAAATTGAGTGATGCTCATCCCTCCAAGTAGAGGAGTTATAAGGGAAACTATACTATCCACGGAGCCAGTCTTTAACGAAAAATGAGTGAATCACGTTCCATCCTTCACGGCTTTGGTAAAACTCTAGAAAAGTGAAAGAGTTTCACTCCTCTAAGAAAGAAGATGCTCAAACAATGAAAGTAAAAGAAGCTAACAAATGAAAGTAGAAGAAAGCTATTTACTTTTGGAGGGTTTCCACCACAACCAAAAAATGAGCTATCTCTCTTGATACTTGTAAATAAAAGCAAGTACAACTACAAGGGAGTCTAAACCTCCATCATAGTTGTCACAACATGAATGTAAAGACTTAGCACAAGTAAATAAAAGACTTCAACTATAAGGGGATTCTAAGCCTCCATCATAGTTGATACAAATGCAAAATGAAAACATAAACAAGAAATGTACAAGAATTAGTTCTCTACTCTACTTTACAAGAGAAAAGGATTCCTACTCTACAAGAGGAAGAATGTCTTTCAAGCTCCCAACATGGGAGTATTTATAGGTAAGGAAAGGGAGGGGGGAAAGATAAGAAGATAAGAGAGGGTGAGTGAATAGTGTATGCCGCCTATGAAACCAACTACTCTGCAGGCAGTCTATGGAGGACGTTCGAACGTGAATCGACGTTCAAACATTGTCTTCTGTTTTGCTTTAGGGGCGTTTGAACGGTGTCTGTCATTCGAACGTGTCTTCTATTTTTGCTTTATGGGCGTTCGAACGCCAAATGGGGCCTAACCTTTTCCACTCAAATGGTCTTCTATGAAGTTCATTTCCACACTCTATGCAGAAGTTTGTTCTTCAACTGATTCCAAGGGACGTTCGAACGTTTAATGGCGTTCGAATGTGGTACTCAAGTGCTTCAGAGTCCTCCTTCTTTGTTTGCTGTAACACGTCATGTCTCATCAGTCTGGCCTTCAATCAACTCAAGTGGACGTTTGAACGTTAGTTGGCGTTCGAACGTGGTACTCAAGTACCTCAGGGTCCTGGTTCTTGGCTGCAACACACTGTATCTCAGCAGGCTAGTTTTGTCATAGTTCAAATGAACGTTCGAACGTTAGTTGGCATTTGAATGTTCGAACGTTAGTTGGCGTTCGAATGTTCTTGCTTTGTTGCAAGCCTCTCCAATTTCATTCCCTAATGTGTTGGTGCGACATTCAAGTGTGACTTTTGTTGCCCTCGAACCCTTGTTCACTTTAGAACTTGAAATATCCTTACTTGAACTCTATCAAAGTACAATTAGTCCTAAAAAGGCATAATAATATGTTACATTTAAGTACTAATTAGTGACAATTAAATATCTCAGAATTAAGAGTATAAACAATCATAATAATCATAAGGTATTTGTTATCTTATTAAATCAAAAAAAAAAAATAATAACCTCAACATGAGTCTGTTCAATACACAAAGTGTACTAGCGCAATAATCTAAGACATCAAACAGTCTCTTACAATCAAGACAGACTATGTCAAAATATTGCACTACAACCATACTGATGGAGTGTCCAATTCCTTCTAGAATTGTAAACATATATTCATATTATACAAGGATCCGATAATCTGGTCTTCTGTGCATAAGCTAAATTCTACACACCAGATTGTCTATAACGTAAAATATAATACACACATGCATACCATATATCAAATATAATGCAAACATTTTGCCCAAAAAGATTCTCAATAAAATAGAAAGATCAAACTCCCATTAATTAATAAAATTAGTTTCACTACAAAAAGTAAATCTCATCTACTATGGAGTCTGAGTATATCACATGTTTAGCAACAGTTCAAGACACAACCTGGTTGAGGAGATTCATTCAGCGATTAGGGATTATAGCCCGCGTTGATGAGACTATTGAGATTCAATCCAATAACATGGCTACATTATCATATGCAAAGGATCCTAAATATCATGGCAGGACCAAGTATATTGATATACGATTTCACTACATTCGAGACATGGTCCGACAAGGGGAAGTGGTTCTAAAGCATATCTCCACTAATAGAATGGTGGTTGATCCTCTCACTAAGCTTATTGCTAGAGATATCTTCCAAACTCATGTCAGAATTTTGGGGTTATGTAGGATTTGATTTGTTTTCAATTGTATGATGGACATATGGATATTTATATTTCATGCATTTGTCATTTTATCTCCTACTTGTGGTTACATGAATAACACTATTTTTATGAGACACATAATTATAGTAATGTCACCAGGTTGAGATCAGCTCACTCACACAGGTGATCGCCTTGGCGCTAAGATAACGAGCAGGATGAGACAAAGTTACCATATTGATGCTTTTGTAGTGAGCTTATGATGGCCTAAATTTATGTTGCATAATAGACATTATTGATTGATAATGTTTTCATTTCAGTTTTCGGACTAGGATGAGACTTAAGTAAGTCCAATATGAAATGCCTCCACGATTTCTATATAAAACATGAATAAAGTTGAATGTGAACACTCAAGAAACGCTTGGAGAACAGCAAGCCTAGAGTAGCTCAGGCCAGATGCCTACATGGCAACTAGACCCAAATTCATATGGTGTTTAAGAGTGACATAACCAATTTAGTGGGGGGCTCCACCATAGCATACATATTATATTGTATGTGCTATAATAGACCATATAGAAAAGTGACAAGATTGATACCCTCTATATCACTGTGTGAGCCCTAAAATACACTATACCCTTACACCTAGAGATATGTCATGAAGTTGAGGTTCGAAGTAACTACATTAGCATGTCACCCAGGATCATGATAGATACGATCACATGGGACATGTCTAAAAAAGTGCTCGAATCAAAATGTATAGATATGAGATTCTAGGAAAGGTGTTTTTGGTAGTTCATTACCTGGGCGATTATTGCGCTTAGTTGTGTAAGATAATAACAAACACTAACATGAAATGAGTTTGGTCAAGTATTGCTCTAAGAGGAGTCTCAAGAGGGATAGATGATACTTGATTCGGTATGATTTAAGTTTATATCTAGGGTATGAACGATATCTTGTTGATGATGTGCTATTTTAGTTAGATGGTGGCTTAATATAGCACTCCCACTTTATTCTTTTTCGTCAAGTTGGACGCCCCATTGCATGTATGAGGAGAGTGAAATAACAATAAAAGATTGAGAAGAAGTATGCATGGCGACTGAGACAACCTATGTGGACAAGTGGGAGATATGATAACTACCTAGTAGTGTCCTCTATGTAGTAAGAGTCTTAATGGGTTTAGACTCTTCTCTATTATCCTTATCTTATCACATATAAGTTAAGATAACCCATAAGTTGACATTGAGATAAGATTTATATATATCATCTAAACTCTTGTATTATACATAGAGGTATATAGAATACAATGAAGAACACACCAAAATTCGTCACTCTTTCTCTCCTCCAATTTTTCTCACTAAGAATCATCATCTTGAAGTATTATTAGGTTTTGCGGGTATAGGTGCTTAGAGGACTCTAATAGTCTGTTTTATGCATATTGACAAGCTTATTAGGATTAGGGGTGTCAAACGTGTCGGATTAACTAGGTGACAGGTGAAAAATATATAAACCTGTACACGACAAGTTTAATAAACACGTAAAAAATCTCAATACAAACACGACCCGTTTAATAAACGGGTAATACGACACAACTCATTTAACCCGTTTAATTTTAAAAAAATTATATTAACAAATTTTAATACTCCACTTTTTTTTATTGTCAATTACACTTACCTCAAAAAAGATGAATTTTTAGTCAAATATCATAAAAATAAGATTTGAAGGTTTAAAAAAAAAAAAACAAGAGGTCATTGCTTTTTATAGGCAATTTAACCCTTCTCATCTCCCCTCATTTTTCAATGTGGGGCAAAAACAAAAGATTTTGGTTTGCCTTTGTCTTTGAAGTGCTCTTCATCTCATCTCTTTTGTCTTTAAACTACTATTTTACTTCTTTTTTTTTATTGATTTCTTTACTTCTTTTTTTTTTCTAATTTTTTTAAATAATTATTAATTTATTATTATATTAATTTTATTTAAACGGGTAAACGTGTGTTAAACGGTTTAACAAGTCTCACCCGAATATGATCCGTTTATTAAACGTGTTTGACGTGTCAACCCGTTTATCACTCAAGCTTGCTTAATTTGTGTTGATTCATGTCGATTAATCGTGTCGTGTCAAATTTTGACAGCCCTAATTAGAACTCTAATTCTTTTCTGCATATTGACATTATTAATAGGCATATCGACAAATTTGTTAACAGCCAAAAATCACTCAAATCGTAAAGGTACAACAAAACTAATAAAATAAATCGATTCGATTGGATTCCACACGGGAAGAGGTAGCTCACGTATAACGTCTGTAATTCCAGTAAGCCCTAACGTGACCTTAGGATCCCGATTAGGTTGTCCCCGAAAAATAAGTGCTTAGCACAAGTGTAACAGTATCTCTCTGTTTCCCGAAAAAGCGGTCTCACCCTCTCTCTCTCTCTCTCCCTCCGTCACACCCACACGCCCACAAAACGAAACACAGATTCACTATGCAGTGTGGCGTGTTGGGCGGTGAGTTGGTCGAGGAGGTTGATGAAGCAGAGGAAGAGGAGGTTAAGATGGTAGTAGGGATGGGATCATACGGTGGGAAGGTGAGAGTGGTGACGGGTGACCCATGGGAGGAGATAATGCTACTTTGGGGGATTCAACAACCCACACTCTCAAAGCACAACGCCTTTGTCCACCAATCCTCACTCCAACTTCGTCTCGATGCTTGTGGCCGCTCACTCTCCATTCTCCAGTCCCCTTCTTCTTTGGTATTATCTACACCTCTCTCTATCTCTCCCTATCAATACGTGCATACATATATGGATGCCCATGTATATCTTCTCTAACCTTTATCAGCTGTTTCCCAATTTTCCATTTCATATTTCCGTCTATATCCTTCTAATTTGTCTATGTTACCCATTATCCTTCTGTATGCGTATGTATATATGTCTTGTGTGTGTATATATGTTTCTACTATTTACAATCATGTCTGGGGTGGTTTTTGGCAGACCGACAGTTGTTTTAAATGAGATAGTAAGAACACATAGTAGCATTAAGAGCACAATAGTGAAATAGGAAGCTGATTTAGGGCTAGGCTTTGTTTAGGTGGGTTGAGGGAAATATATGTGTGTATATTCATAATCTTTTTATCATTAATGCTGTTTTACCATTACCCTTTTAAAATCTGCAACTCTGCTGCTACTATTACATGGTCTGGCCAAAACTTGCTAATTTTAGTGTTTTGGTGTAAGCCAGTTTTTGGACATTTGTGTGTATATGTGTATGTATGTGTGTTTTTCCTTCTGTATGTTGCTAATTTTGATTAGCTGTTAGTCATTACCCATATCATATTTGCATCTTTAACTTTCAAATTATAAAGGATTGTCCTCTTTATCAGTTGGATATTAAGAATTCATTTATTCATAGGTATTTACAACAGGTGTATATGGAACAACCGCAACCTTCATGGTATGTGGTTTAAGAGGGTGTGAGGAAGTTTGTCAGCTCATTAAGACTAGTTATGGGCTTAAGCAGTCTTCACAGGTTTCATTTAATAAGCTGACGATGGTTTGTTGCTGATTTTGGAATGAAGAGAATTTGTATCAAATCCTCAGTTTTTGTTTGTCTTAGTTGCTATGGTTTAATAACTCTAGTTGTATATCTTGATGATATTAGATTACATGGAACTATAGGGACGTTAGTACTAGACCTAAACAACAATTGGGTAAACCACTGTCACGCGAAGCGGAAGGACCTTGGAGCTTTGAGGTATTTCTTGAGCATAGAGGTTGCTCGATCCAAGGAAGCTATTGTGAACGTATGTTATTGATCTTCTAGAGGAAACGAGTTTGTAACAAACTAAGCCAATTGACACTCCAAAGTGGAGCTTAACATGATGTCTAACAAGAATAGTGGTGAAGTGTTTGATAGCCCATGGAGATACAAATGGCTGGTTGGTAAGCTTATATATTTGACATTGACTTGAAATTGTATTACATTTGCTGTTGAAACTGTTAGTTAGTTTATGCAGAATCCACAATCAAAACATTTGAGTGTTCTATGTCTAATTGCAAAGTATCTTAAAAGTTGTACCCTGAACTAAATAATGTTAAAGTAATCTACTTCACTTGATGCAGTTGGTTCTCTGATGTTAATGTTATTGAGTTGGAATTTGTGTGGATAGAAGTTCATTTTTGGCTACTGGACTTTTATTGGAGGGAATCTAGTTACGTGCAAGAGCAAAAAATAAAATTGTTTAGCTAGTTCGAGTGCTGAAACCGAGTATAAAGCTATGACACATTGCTTTTGAGATAGTGTGGGTAAAGCCTCTTTTGCAAGAGAATGTATTTAATTTGATTCGTCAAAAAAAAAAAAAATTTTGATTTAACCGGCAGCAAGCCAGCAATACCATTGCTTCTATGCATGTGTTTCATAGAAGAATGTGCAAAAGATTGTGCCTTGAGTAACCATATTTCTACTATATATCTAAAGTTTGGGGATCAATTAAGTGATGTGTTTACTAAAGCTCCAGGTAGAGGACAATGTCTTATGCAACAAGTTGGGTATGATAGATATCTACAGTCTAGCTTGAGGAGACTGTTAAGTGGATTTGTAGGGTTAGCTGATCATATTGTCTCATTCTTGGGGTCAGTTTGTAATTTTAAACCACTTGCAATATGAATATGAATGGCAACCCTGAGTATAATTATGCTCTTCAGTTTTTCAAAATTCTTTTTAATTTGTTCTCTCTTATTTCTAATAATCCTAAATAAGTCTTCTATAAACATTGATTGGGTTGGAAACTTCAATATCTATAACAATTGTTTCTTTATGCATCACTAAAATAGCTAAAATCTTTAAAGAACATTGAAATCCAACAAACTCGTGTTGAAAAGGTGTATGCCCTTTAGTTTTAGGGGTTTGCTAGCAAGAAACAAAGTTCACATTGGTAACCAATTACCATTAAGGATGACCGATATTGTCAATACTGTTACACTATAATTGTTATGTAACCAATACCGACTTAAAACCTTGAGTTTTTGGAAGATTGAATTGATCCAGTGTGGTTTAGCTGAGCTCCTATGGTGTTCACAACTTGTTGAACTGGGAGTTTTGTATGTACTCGGCTGGATTTCTTGTTCTGGTTTTTGTCCTCCATGTTGGGTCTTTGTGAACAGAAATGTATTCAAGGACAAGGTGCAACAATGTTACGATATACAGTTATTAAAATGAATCAATCATATTTTCCTGTTCCTCTGTGTGTACATCTTATAATCTGAGTTACTGCCATTGTAGGGCACGCCTGGAGTAACTGGAGCAGTGATGTGGGACAGTGGAGTTGTTCTGGGGAAGTTCCTTGAGCATGCTGTGGAATCAGGGATGATATCTCTTCGAGGCAAGAAGGTTGTTGAACTGGGCTCTGGCTGTGGATTAGTTGGGTAATAATAGTGCTTGTATGTATTCCTATGTTTGTTACTATGTGAGACTTTCTGGGGGACCTCGACAATTGTTTTATATTTTAGTTTTTCTGGTAGAAACAAACAATTGTAATGTTAGGTGGGCAAGTCATCCAGCCTAATATCAAACAAGAAAGAAACCAGTTTACATCATAGGTTTCCACTATACGAGGGCCTGACTATAAATTACATAAAGCTATCCATCCCTCCAAATGCAAAAGAAAGGAACTCAGTCAAAGTCCTTGGTGATCAAAGCCCAGAAAGATGCTAAAAACAGATCGGATCCCATAAGCCTTTAAGTTAGGGAGCTGGAATTATTATGTAGATGTGCTCAAGCCTTACGAAGCTCAAGTTTTCATATATTTCAGTTAGTAAGCCGTTTTTGAATAAGGGAAAAGTGAAAACCACAATGGTCCATTCAATTGGGATTTTCATCTTTCACAATATGTCAGCTGGATGCTTTTGCAGGACATATCTATAAAATGATAGTTTTTCATATTTGTGCCAACATAGAAATGACTAAAATTAGAAGTATATATATATATATATATATATATATATATATATATATCGATCATAGTGAATTAGGTCAACAAATTAGGTCTCAATAGCATTGCTCATTTATTCACTAGTTTACCCAGGAAGTCATTGATTCTCTTCGTGAACTATCTTCTTCTTCTCATGTTTCCAGCTGTATTGCGGCACTTTTAGGTGCTCAAGTTATTCTTACTGATCTGCCAGATAGACTGAGGCTATTGAAAAAGAATGTTGAAGCTAATTTGTATGGAGATGTGCGGGGTTCTGCGACAGTGAATGAGCTCATTTGGGGAGATCAACTTGATCTGGAATTAATTACACCTTTGCCTGATTACGGTAACAAGCCCCACATTATCTGTTCTTAACACCTAGCATACTGGTAAATGTTTTCGTGCCACGCTCTCAAATTGTAGGCAGTTGTAAAATTACATTCATGGTATGCATCTCAAGGATGACAGCCTATTTTCATTGGTAAAAATACGTTGATTTGGTTGACATGTACATTGGTTTAGAAAATTTAGTGATTGAGCATATTCTATACTTCAGTGTCCCATTCAGTCCAAGTTCTCGTAATTAGAATTTTTGTTAGTTTTCTATAGTAATCTCAAGTTTGAGCACCAGAAAAAGGCAATGTGGAATTTCAACATTAGTGTTTGTTTGCTCACTTCTCATGGCATTAAATTAGATTAGATTGAACATTATGCATTTGAAGTGCGAGGAACATGAGCAGGAAAATGAAAGAAGCATTAAGAATATCTTAAGCCTAATATCATAAAATATTTCTTAAACCGGAAATCTTGCTATTCTTTGCACCTGAGCATTCAATGTGTAGATGACTCTGAGGACTGTATGGCACAGATTCAAACGTCTTGGGCAACACTCAATATTAGTGGATGAAGAGGGTGTTCAAAGGCTTTAATCATCTGAAGAACATACAAGAGGAAAAGCAATCTACAAAAAGTAAATGTCAAGAAAAATAGGCATCCAAATCAAATTTACATGTTGAAATAGCAATTCCAGCTGTGGAACGAGAGCAGATCTAGGAAAGTACACAAAAAATAGGTCATGTCCTCGTCGTCGACTTTGTGATACTTCTATGAATATGGGCGGATTTACTAATGTGGGCTTTAATATACATTTAAACTCTGCTTAACCTAAAAGCTTATAGGTCTTCGGTCCATGTTCCCCATTCCTACTATTTTTTTGTGGAGCCATTTTGACACAGTTATTGCATATTGGCACTTGGATATATCTAGATTATTCAGATTTGTGAGCTTTACGAATTAGAGCCGTCTAAGAATGGTTTGATGATTCCCAATTGATTGACTTATTGCATAAGTCTCATGTGCTAGATGGTTCCAAAGGACTTGAACTATGATAGTATAACAAAATTCTGGGTGATATTTGTTTTAGAGTATCCATCTTAAAATTAATTGGAAATAATTTGACTTAGCTTCTTAAATATATAACAAACATTGGATGTTCCGATGTGAGATACAAGCTCTCGTCACCCCATCTCTTACATGTGTCTCAGGTGTGCACGTGGCTTAACAAATCAAATTAAAATATATGGACAAGACAGAAAATTCGAAGGGGTGAGAGACTTGGCTTACCAACTAGGCAATATTCAGCTCTAATACCATTTTATAACGTCCAACCCAAAATCAATTAGCATTATTTACCCTATAAATCAATCTTGAGTGGTGCTAATTATTCAATGGGGATACAAGCTACCGGAAAATGCAAATGGGTAGGAGACTTTGTCCAGTAACTATATCCTGGATCATCTTGGATATCATATTAAAGCTTCCAATTCAACATTAATTGATAATAAGTGAAGAGGCCCCTTAACCATAAAAAAATATCCTTGGGTGGTCCTAATCAATCAACCCAACACAAGAGGCCACATATGCCCTGACATCCATTTAGTTCTGTAGCAATTACAGTGAGATTTTCCTATGGCCGAATAGTTTTGTTCTGGTCTAAGCTAGCATGCTGGACTGACCCAAGATTTACACTTGCTGTCAAACAAGTTCTTTTAGAATGTCAATAGCAGATAAGTCAATTTTAGTTCTTAATAGCCTTGGTCTAAGTAAGTTTACCAGTTTCTATATATTTGGATCTCTATTTAATTTCTGTCATTTGTGGCAAAAATGTATTTCAGTGATTGGCTCGGATGTAATATACAGCGAGGGAGCAGTGATGGACTTGTTGGCCACACTAATTCGACTGTGTGAAGCTCAAACAACAATTTTTTTGGCTGGAGAGCTTAGAAATGGTAAGAATTGTAGTTTTGTGTCTTATACTGTCCTATTGCTATAAAGTTGCAGAGATCTCAAATACTTGTTCCCTTGTTAGATGCTGTCCTTGAATATTTCTTAGATTCTGCAATGAAGGAGTTCAATATTGGACGTGTTGATCAATCACAGTGGCATCCAGATTACTGCACTCCACGTGTCGTGATATATGTTCTCGTGAAAAAGTGAAATCAAAGAAATTGAAGATTGCTGATAACAATCTCATGTATCAAGCTGTTCACCATCTCATCCAAGCTGTGCTGCACTAAGCTTCAACTTTTTCTACATGCTGCATGACCTATTTTTTTCGAGAGCTAGTAATGACCTGTGAAAGGTCCTCCCCATTAAAGTCTGACTGCATCGAAAACCTCATTTTCCATGTCTTTTGAAAAATGGGTCTAATCTCTGTTTGTGCAACAATATAGGCAAATTTCATAGTTTGAACAATGTTTTACATTTGTTGGCCTCTTAACCATGGTCAAATGTAGTTAATGTTGTACCATCTTAGTTTTTGAAGTCTAGTCTTATAGATGTCTATCTCAGGTTGTGTTTTTTTTTTAAGATCATTTTGATCATGTGGTTAGTGTTAGCCTTTGAGGTCTCTTCTTGGAGGATTATGTGAATGCATTGTGAAAAAACTAGTCCCACGTTGATTAGGGAAATCAAGTGGCGTGAGTTTATAAGGCGTCTATCGACCTGTAAAAGTTAGGCCAAGTTTGTGTTATTGATGTGGATGTCAGCGTTTAGGGTCTGGTCCGGTCTTGGATAAGGTGTAAGTGTGCATGTATAGTGAAAAAAGATAAAAGATGGGTGCGTCTTTCGCTAAAGAAGGAAAATAAACCATGTTTTGATTCCAAAAACATCTCATTTGACGCCTTTTTTTAAGGCATTGTCACTATGGTCAAGGGGTTTGTAGGTGATGCAAATATGTTTTTTCTTCCTAGCTGAAAATTGCAGTTGAATGTTTGGATTCAATAGGCTTCAACTGCTATTCCTATTAACATTGTCATGGCGCAGAAGCTTTTGGGTTGAAGGTTTGAATCTTCTCAGGGGCTTAAGCCTCTATTTCGGGAAGTGCTTTGTCTGGACTTGGTGTCAATGCTAAACTTGATGTGTGCCGAACGAGGAAAATAATGAAGTCAAGGTGAGCCCAGGTAAGGTAGCCCTTACTATGTCATAGACCCGAGTTCGAGCTCTACTCTCCCCTGCCCTTAACATACTCAACTTCTAAACAATTCTCCAACAAAAGAAAAAGAAAAAGAAAAAGAGGAAATAGTATGTGTGCATTGTTGATGCCTATAAAAATATCACATGGTATGGTGGCTTAATCATACGATAAAATCATATAACTCAGTTTAATTTTATTGGTCATTCTTAATTGTCTTACGATTCTACCAACCAAGAGATTAAGGGATCAATATTTGTAAAATGCAAAGATTAGTTTCTTATGTCCCCCATTCTTTTTAGGAATTCTATAATGATGTTTTTCATTCTTTTCCTTCACTTTTCAGTGGGTGTTTGTCTTATTATAGAAGCATTATTTAAAAGTTATATAACATTTAAATATTCATTGTAATAGATTACTAACAATGTTGCAATCAGTTCTTTGTGGTTTCAAGTGCTGCAATTTGTCTCCTCCAAGTTTCGAGTGGATTAAATTGACTAAGAGTAAGTTTGGCGGGTATTGAAGGGAATTTTTTTAAACTAAGGTAGGCATTGAAGTTTGGCAGGGAATATTTTTAAACTCATGCTATGTTGCATGAAGCTTCTTTCGAGCAGTGTCAATGATAAGGCATTGTTGTTAGCCCAACAATGTTGTAGCTTTTGATTTCAAGTTTGGCTGGTCTGGTAAATCAAAATCTGAGATTTTTGGAACAAGAAAAAGAATGGACAAGTTATTTATAAATGTAGCCACTAAAAAGCATTTGAGTCAATTTTTTGTTGCTCTTGTGCTGAACATTTTCTCCTTGCTTTTTCCATGTAATTTTTAATTATATGGATCTTTGTGTGTTAAAATTAATAAGAACAAGTTCACGAGCCTGAAATGAGTTTTTTTCTTTGTGCAACACTGATATTTTCCGCACTACTACCACCGCAAGAGAGTTGTAGGATGCACTACAAAAGAAATATATATATATATATACATAAAAATAAAATAAAAGACGATGAAGGGCTTGAAAACTATATTCTTGGGAAAAACTAATGACAAATCTGTTATGCAACAGGCCCATGGACTTCAGGTTTTGGTTCAAAACCTGAATCAAATAAAAATAAAAATTGATGAGAATCCCTCACAAAGATTTCCCTACCCTTCTCCTTAAGGACGGGGCGAAAAGGGAGAACCACTTCCCCACCCTGGTCGGATTTACTGATCTCCGTAGCCTTCCCCTTCTTGGCAGCATGTTTTCACTGTTTTGTTAAATCAAGAGAAGAGTCGACCTCGGGAGAACTCACATTGGCATCCCCAGGAACATTATTCCCGAGGATTTCAACTTTGCAAAGGGAAAATACACGTACAGTGCCTTTTTGCGAGAAACCAAGCAGCGCATTAAATGTGGAGATGATGAACGGTCAAGAAACATCAATTGGCGTGTATCATGTGACAAACATTCCTTGAAGGAGCAAGTGAAGGGGTACAAAATGACTGCGCATGATTGAAACAGTTAATACGCTCACGTGCCTTGAGACACGTGACCAATAACACGTGCAAGAAATGCATAAGGGAAATAACGTCCATCATAATCAAACCAAGCAGATGAATAGTGCTTAGTTCATTGGGCCGAGCTGTCAAAAAAGCTAATTCGACATGCTGACCAAGCAAAACACCAAGACAGTCTCCTACAGAAACCATTCGACAAGCAAGAAAGTAAGACAAGGCTGAATTGAAGGGAACATTGTTTTAATCATAGGAGAATATTCATTACACCTTTATAAAACAGATATAACAGAGAAGAATTTTAGGAGAGATCCTAGCATCCAAAAAAGATTCGGCTAAACATTAGTTGTACCACCTAACGTATACAAGACCTAAAATTGTGGGCCATAAAATCCTATAAATCCAAATTAAGCCTAAGTCAAAGGTACACACTAGAATTTCTGCAAATTATTTTGCTTTCTTTCAGAGTCATTACTGACTTAAACATTAGAGTATCTCTAACCAGTCTACTCCCGATCTCTGATAGTTTGCTCGTTTTATAGGACTAACAGTTTGGCCCCTATTAATTTTCTCAAATCAAACACCGAAGGTAAGAGATTTTTGTCTCTTACAAGTATAAAGTGTCATTTGCCCTTAATTGTTCAAAATGTGAGGAGAGATAATAAAGTTTGGTGTCTATGGTTGTGCATCCTACAATTTTCCAACGTAGGTCATTGAACAAAGCAAAGGAAAAAATGACATCCAAGTCCAAGTACTATTTATACCTTAGCCACCTAATAAGATAACAATTACAACCCAAGAATTAATAAGTACTTAACCACGGACTTAGAAATCCCCCATTTTTCAAAAGAAATGTTGGCCTAATTCCCATTGAATATATCATATAACCTTTCTAGTGTGTTGATGGAACATACTAAAACATTAATATTATCCTCTGACAAAAATAGAACTTTAAACGAAATTATTTTGATTCAACCATCTCTTTCTCTACTGTGAGCTATTAACTTATTCAAACGTTTGAATAACAGGACAAAAGGAGTTTTGATCATAGACAGCCGTTGGATTATACATATTTATTCGGCTGTTAGATTTTAATTATACATCTGAGTAGCGTCCAAACTGCATTTGAATTTGTTATTGTTTAGGAAATACTGTGATGGCAATGACTTACAGCTCAAAAAGTGCAAAATTAAATCTAAATTCTTAGTTAAATCCTTTTTCTTGCGGCATGATCCTCAAGATAATCTATATGACTGCCATGTAAGCCCTCTCTCTCTCTCTCTCTCTCTCTCTCTCTCTCTCTCTGTTTGTGATTACTTTTTAACAGACCAACCATAGTGGTAATTAAGCAGTTCAGACAACTTTGTAAGAATCTACGGCGTTATTATTCATCTGCTTCTCTTCAATTTATAAACAGGTCAATTCATATACTAATGTAGAAATGCATCACGATAGAGCCATGATGCTAGTATTTGACTTGAAAATAACTATTTCCTGGGAGTACGGTCCCCCCCCCCCCCCCCCCCCCCCCCCTTTCCAACCTCCACCAAACATCTTCGTTTTGAAGTCCCTAACACACAAGAGATAGAATGTTACAGAACAATTTACAGATTTGGTATAACAAGAAGTAAATTAATTGAAATGTGGGAATCTTGATGTACTGAATACAAGGATACCGGAGACGAAGGACAAACTGTCCCACCAGCTATGGGATGACAACCACCATCAGCAAGAGTTATAAAACTAGAATCAAATGAACAATTAATCAAACTTGAAAATAGAGATGACCGTACTGGGTAAAAATAGCAGACTCTCTTTAAGTTTATGACACTCGAGGACTGGGTAAAAATAGCAAGATATGCACAATACGTTAGTGAGCAACTGAAGCAACTTCAGTACCAGATCCATGATGCGCTTGCTGAAGAAAAGCAGAGTATTTGGACTTGGAGATAGTTACATACCGTTCAGTATTGAAAGAGTAGACACTGCCTTGGAGATAGCTACATACTGTTCAGCATTGAAAAAGTTGACACTGCCCTAGCACTAACATGCTGAAGTGGTGAATTAGCATCAAAAGAAAACACAGCATGGTGTGCCTATTCCGTTAACACCTATCCACTTTTCCTCCAAAAGGTGTACACTTACCTCCTCTACCATGATCACTCTCTTGGATATCTCTACCTCCACCATTCTAAAACCAGTAGATGTTGTATGGCTTCTGTTACTGGGACCACAGCCACAAGAATTATCACTTCCTCACGAAGAACCTGCTTTCCAGTAGAAAATACTAGTGCTAACTTATCTCTTCAAATAGTACTTGAGAAAGATGAAGAAATAACATAAATCCTTAGAACACGGGAATTAACATTTCTGAGAAGGAACGTATCCATCTGCTAAATTTGAGATACAAATGCCTTGGAGATTAGGATGCAAACGAAACAAGAACTTAATAACATAGAAGTCTTCTCTCCATCTCTTCAAGACATTTATATCTGTCGTCACAGGGTGATATTGATTGACTCCTCAAGCATTCCGTTCAACATATTGTATTCACCAACACTGTTCTCTCCCTGGCGAAGTAAGAGTATAATCTCGTACAACTCAAATACACATGAGACACTTTTATAAATACATATCTTGCTCTGAATCCCATATTGCCTTTGTCGTGCCGGAAACATGATATTTGCACGAGGGTCCATGCTAATGATAAATTCATTATCAGAGGACCAGTCATTAATCATTATATCCTCGAGTCACAAAATAAATTGCAGCTTTTCAATAGCTTAAGCCAATATCAAGTTATTAGTCCACCCCCCCTTTCCCCCAAACCCAGTTTATAGGCGTAAGTTGCACCACAGAATTGTCTGATGTAGAGAAAGGCCAATTTTAGCTGTCACCGCTAGTATCAGCCATGAGAAATAGTCAAAAATTTCTATAAAATATTCCAGCTGCATTACATCTTATAATGATGACTATTCTTGGCCAGAACAGAAACACCATAATAAGGACCAGAAAATAACTATTAGAGTGCTATCCAAAACCACATTTCATCAAAACCCCCACAACAATGGCCAAGAGGATAACAAGACACTTAATGATAGCACCAAGAACAAGCAATGTGAACCTGATTGTCTGAGAAC